GAGCGAGCAGGCGTCGCTGCCCTACCTGGCTTTTGAAGGCGCCACGAAGAGGAACAGGCCGAACGTGCAGGTAATCGGTCGTAGGATCGCAGAATGGCGTTGGGTTGGAAGGGACCCTTAGAGGTCATCTAGCTCAGCCCCCCTGCAGTGAGCAGGGACATCTTCAACCAGACCAGGTTGCTCAGAGCCCCGTCCAGCCTTGGCCTTGAATGTTTCCAGGGGTGGGGCCTCCACTACTTCTCTGGGCAACCTGTGCCAGTGTTTCACCACCCTCATGGTAAAAAATTTCCTCTTCCTATCTAGTCTAAATCTGCCCTTGCATAGCTTGAAGGCGTTACTCCTTGCCCTTCCATAGCTTGAAGCCGTTACTCCTTGCCATTACTTCTCCTGGTTGGAGGTGATGCTTTAGCGATGTTGTTTGGGGGTGCTTCTGTTACGTTGCAGTAGTTTTTCTTAGTTAAAGGCATTTATATAAGCCAGAAGTAGGAGGTGGAGCGCAGGTTTATTTGCGATGGTTTCGCTGTGGCTCCCCTCAGAGGTTTTTGGCACGAATAGGCTGCGGTCTTTCTGAGGTTTCTTCAGAGAACATGTAACTGGTCTGGTTTGGTGTCTTGTCAGGTGCAGGCTTTCTCACTCCTTACATTTTAACTTGCCCGTAGTAGTACCAGAAGTAGATGCAGTTCATGAGTAGTGTGCATCCAAGGGAGCACTCTGAAGTGAAGGTTTTAAAAGAAGCTTCTACACCATTTGATACTAGTAGAAAATGGTTGAGTTTTTAATAACACTGTGATGAACAGTTGTGTGGCACTTGCATGCCACAGCTTCTGCATTCAACTGAAATAACATCACCAGAATGTAAAAGTGGACTGTAAATAAAACCAAAATAGGTTAATATGATTGTTATTGTTGTTATTTTTGTCCTGGTAAATGATTGCAAGAGCAAGTTGCTTAGACTTTGAATACCCTTAAAGTCAGAAGAAAGAAGAATTCATGTTTGGTATTTAAAAAAGAAAAGAAGTAGAGTTCTGTACTTTTTTGTATCTTTCAAATTCTACTGGTGATACAAGATAACTGTTTCTAGCAGGTGTTTCTTTAGTAGAAGAAGAGAAAATGAAAATTCCAATTATACCTATTCCTAATATACCTATTTTTCTATCGCCAATGTTTTAAAACTATTTGGTGGCCTCATGGGAGGAGCTTTGTTAACTGAACATTTCTTACAAATGTGCAATCTTCTCTAATACTTTTGTTTTTTTGCTTGGTTTAGGTGGGAGATCTTATTTATGGTCAGTTCCTTGTAGCAAATAAAGATGTGGAACCAGAGATGGTCTGTATAGACAGCAATGGAAGATCAAGTGGAATGGGAATAATTGGACAAGATGGCTTCCTTTTTAAAGTTTCCTTAGGTCTAATAAGAAAGTAAGTACTAAGAAAAGTAAGTAGACACTCTTAACATGTAATACAGCAGGTACGGTCTGCACAACTGTTTCCTCTGAGCGGCATGGACAATTCGGTAATCAGAGTGTGTAATTGTTTTAGTGTATTTATACTAGTTTTACTGAATAGGGTGTGGATATTGACCTGGAAGGAGCATGTATTTCCCCCCATAAGAGATTTAGGTGCTCTCCTATATGGTGTTGTGTGACCTGTTAAAAAAAAAAATGGTGTGGTTGCCAAGGCAGTATGGAAAACAAAGCCATTGACCTGGGGAGATCAGACATTCAAGCCTGGGTTTCAGGTATGTACCTACTACCTTGGAATTCAAAAATTGGAAATGCTTACTGTCCTTTTTCTGCTTAATGGGGGATGTAAATTTGACTGACAGCTGATTAAAAGGGTCTTTCCACATCAATACGCATTATTTTCTGATTTCCAAAGAAAAAGAAATTGCATTAAAATAAGGATACAGATAAAGAAACAGTTGTGGTATTTTCATTTAAAACTGACATGTTAATCCAGGAACCATTTCATGAGCTTTTAAATGTATTGTGAACTTTGGAGTTACTTACGCTGATGTAAATACAAGATTTTTGTGGCTGTCAAAGAATACCAGCTTATATGGATAAATAGTAGTCAAGTTCTGTTGCTTTGTGGTGGTGGTGGTGGTGGGTTGTTGGTTTTTGTTGGTATTTGGAAAAGCAATCTGGAGATGCAGAGCAGCTATTTCATACCTGGGTTTTTGAAGTAATGATTTGTCTGGTTTACATGTCCTGTCAGAAGTCAGTGTGAACTGATACTAAATATTTTTGCAACCATTCTGCTTGTTTTCTAAATTTTGTCTGTATGCAAGTGAAAAAACAAGTGTATTACAAGTGAACTGCAAAGTCTTGATATGTTTGTTTCTTCAAGAAAGCCTGTTGAAGCTTGGTTTATCCTAGATGTATTACAATATTCTTGACATTTTATTTTTAAGTATGCTGCCATCTAATTCAAACCAAAATATTCTATGTTTACTGCTGTTAATATTGTCTCCTCAAGGAGAAGGGAAGTTATGTTTTGAAAGACACATCTTTAACTCTGATGTCAAACTTAACAAATAGCACTTAAAAAATGTCACTTTGTCAAACAGTGTGGTTTTAGAATTCATTAAATTGTAGAATTGTTATAAAAGTATTAATTCACTTTAAATTTGTCAGGTATTACTTCTGAATCTAATTAGAAAAAACCACTAAACTAATGAGTGCTATATTTTTTTAGGTGCGTATACGAGAGGAGAATTAAAAATCTGATACTGTGTTGCTATCTGGAGTGCATATGGAATTTGATCTTCTAACCTTCTGGTGTTGCTTTAATAGCTCTTGTAACACCAGTACTGCGCTTTTGTTATTGATCGATAGTAATGTGATGTCTGTCAAATGTGACCACTTCCTTCTTCCCTTGACTTTTTTTAATCTTGTTTACAGACTCTTGGCTCCCAAATGTGAAATAATTCAGGAGTTGTCCCAATTGTACCCGTTTGAGCTGGTGCTGGGAATGAATGGAAGAATATGGGTAAAAGCAAAAACAGTTCAACAGACTTTAATTATAGTAAATATTTTGGAAGCCTGTGAGTATATGACTGCGGAACAGAGAAAACAAGCACTTGCCAAATTGTCAGGGAATTGATAAGAGAAAACCTCAAGGGTTTGAGATGAATGTAGGATGTTTGGGTTATTTTTGTATTCGGATTTATATTAAAAGGCATTTTTTAAATTAAGTACTCGACTTTTGTTACTGTTTTTCTTCAGTTCCCTTGTTTATCTATTCAGCTTGTTTTGACTTGCTTAGGAATTTTTTTTTACTTACTTTTGTGACTATGAAACCCTGTTTATGAGGTGATGTGGAGACAGTCCTTAAAAGCTTCCATTAGCTGTGAGTTTTGAGATGTAACAACTTATTTTTCTGATGCAACTGCTTAAGTCTTCCATAAGAAAGCTCATGAAATTGTAAACTGCATATATTTGTTTTTTTAATCATTATTAATATTAAAACTTCCAACAATACCTGTTTACTTGGAATAGCAGAAAGTATCTTGCAGGTCATTCGTTCTGGTCAGGTGCTCTATTTATAGTGACAAGAAGTGATTACTTAATATTTTACAAAATTTGGGAATAGAAACGCAGGTGGCGAATACCAGAAAATAGTTACAGGGCATAGCATAGAATAATCGTAGAGAGGTTAAGGCAGATGATCCGGTAAGCCCCAACATATGGTCACAGTGACCTTACCACTTTCGCTAAGAGATAACCTGGCTACTAGTCTGAAGGGAGGAGTGATTAGAGTATGACTTCAGTATGAACATTCAGGTAGATTGATGGCTTGGTGGAGGTGAAAAATATACTTAACAGCAGTGCTATTTGAAGTTAGTTGCAACTTTTTCAGAAGTGCTTTTTAGCTAGAGATTAGATAGAGACTGCTGCAGGCAGTAGCCACTTATTTCTCAATTCTAGACATTCTAGATTTATTTTGTTTATTAACAGCATGAAGATTCTATATAGCTTTGCTTCAGATTTAACAGAATCAGCATTTCTGAAAAAACCTGTATTAGGCTTCTTTGTGTAGTAGTTCCTCACGTGTATAGAATAAATGCTGTCCTAGGAAGGACAAGCTCTCGGTCTGTTTTGATATGTGAATAGATTGCTACTGTTCTTTTGAGAGAGAATGCTGGAGTAATGAAGGGGAATTCCTGATGCCTGCTTGCTGTGGGAGAAAAGTTTGACTGTGTGTACCCAGCGAACTGCGTGGGAGCTGTTCAAGCAGTTATTTAGATCTATGATGTTTTGTGGTTCTCAGTAAGCTGAACAGTTTGATAGCAATAGTTAAATTAGAAAAAGTGGACTGATTAGAGTAAGCCTGAATACCATCTTAATTCCAAGTGGAAACAAAATTCTTCCTATTTATTTTGTATTTCATCCAAAGTTCAGCCCGTGGTATTCGATGACATGGTTTTCTTTGGCATCTCTCTCATTTAAGAATTGTTTCAATTCAGCACCACTCCTCTGACTTATCTGTAATATGCTTACCTAGGGCTTCCCCTCATTCAATGAAAACATAACTGATGGTTTCCGTGTGAGTCTAATGGCTACAATTCAGAATTGTTTCTGGGTTTCACTGGCCTCCCTATTTAGCATTTAGCATATTGCTCATCTGGCTTGGTAGATCTTTAGTCATCCTTTTTTTTTTTTTTTCACCTGTCTTCTCCTAGCTGAAGTGACTTTTGTTCACATCCTGTAAATCCTTTAGATTGTGGGCCTATCTCTTAGTACACATGAAAAGCTGTAATTAATAAGGATTTCACTAACTCTGCTCTTCTCCAGTGTTTTTTCAACTTCAGCTAACCAGAGCCCCTGCAGGTTGTCTGTTATTAGAACAATAGCTGGCATAAGCAGAAAAGCACTTGCCAGATCATCTCAGGGTGCTAACTTTGTTTTCTGTGAGTGTTCTTGGATCACAATTGTAAAACCACAGGAATGGGGAATGATGTGGATCATTTCCTGAAGAGTTGTGACTTGAAATGCAATTAGCCTTACCGCTCCCCCTTTTACCTGTCTAAGCAACCTCCCTTCCCTCCAAGAAGTCTGAGTTTTAAGCCTAACCTGCAAGATACATGAACAATCTCTGAGTTAAAAATGCTGTTTTGGTGGTGCAGCATAGCAGATGTTCACCTTGAAAGTTTTCAACATCGTTAGTGCCCTATTTCACACCACCCATTGTTCTGCCCCGCTGTCAACTGTTTATCACTCAAATATAACCTTAGTTAAGAGCAGGAAACAAAATGCATTACAATTAATTTTAGTGTTTTTAATGGAACAAAATAGGGAATCCACAAGGTACTTGAGTTTTACCCCCTACACAATCATTTTAATTATGTACTAAAGTTTGTTTGACAGTTCATGCAGTGGAGAAAATGACAGTGGATGTGAGCAAAATGGGTGTGGGGAAAAGTGCTTGAAAGCAAATACATTTAAACACATTACTAAAAGGTGGCAATATTGGTTTTGTTTTGGTTTTTTTTTTACTTGGAGAAAAGAAAACTATCTGCATTCCTTAAACCAGTTACGAGCTTTGACAAGCTTTATCTGATGAACAAAATATTCAGGAAAAATCTGTATGACGTCTTTAGGAGCTTTTAGTTCTGGCTCAGCGACTAAACCAGTATCACCAAAAAGAGTGACACAGGATATATTTCAGTTCTAGGAAGAAGGACTGATCGTGAGTTCTGCTGCAAATGTTGCAGGAAGTCCCTCACATTCCCATTAAAGGCACGTGAACACATATGTTTCAGGAAATGGAACTTGCAGAAGTGGTGCTGTGGACTTGAAATGCACCTTGTCTACTAGAATGTCTTTTTGTTGTGTTCATCTGCATGATAATTTAAATCATGATTTAGAGTCATTCATTTCAGATACTGGGTGATTGTGCATTGGGTGCTTTCTTACATTGTTTTTCTTTCAAGTTATGATGCAAGTTAAGCCGTGAAGATTGTAGATGTCAACATGGACACAGTCTGTATCCCCAGAGATGAGCACAACCCCTTAAAATGAAAGTTCACAAAGAATTAAATGGAAACCGTACATTGAAAATATGAAATAAGTAGTTTGTGGCCCTTCCTAGGTTCATGTGTAAAGACAAAGAATAAATGCTAACAGAAAGCACAACTACGCGGTGTTGAAACTAAGTGTGGTAGTAAACGATTGTGTTTTGCTCTAGCAGCACAAAGTTGCACAGGGAAATGGTTCAACATAATAAGAGGATTAAGAGCTTAACTCTAAGGCTGTGGCTAGAATGTGGCTGCGGCTCTGCTAATTAGAAGTTTACTGTGCCCAACTACTTATTACCATCTTAGCACCAGAAGCTGCAACTAAAGTTTGCTGCCATGTGTGTTTGATTCGTAGCCAAATTCTGTGAAAATCACCCAGAATGGCATCAACACTTTTAATAGCGGGTTATTTTGTTTTCTTTAACATGGATGTTTGTTTAGCAGAAGAGGTCCTGGAATTTTTCTCTCAGATTTTAAATATTAAGAGCAGCTCAACTATTGCTGGAGAAGCGTAAATTTGTTAGAGAAAGCCTACTTCTCTTCCTTAGTGCTTGAACAAATACTTCTGAGCAGCAGCTAAATCAACTTGTAAATCAATGAGTTATTTTAAACCTTACAAACTGGTTACCTCTAAGTTTTACATACTTATATAAAAAATACTTACACCAGTTTTTCTAGCTACATGTAACCAACTTGGCGAGATATGTTACTTGACTGAGTATAGAAGCCAGCTGTCTTAAGGACAACGTAGGACACTTTAGTTGTATTAGTAACACAAACAGCCTTGTCCTTACTAATGACTTGGATAGATTGCAGGATGCACAACTACTACTGAAATCTGTAGTAAGGAGTTAAACGTGTCAGTTTTTCCCAACAGCTTGAAAGAGAAATAGCCTGGAAAGGTGTTGAGTGCCTAGATACTAACAGAAACTGTGTAGTAGTTGTGGGCGGTTGACCAGGACCGCTGCAGAATGACTGTTTTCCTCTCATGTCCTGATGTCGCAGAAGTGCAGTTACTGCCTTTTCGGTGCTATCAGTTTGGGTATTTTGGGATGTTCAAGAGCCTGGTTTTGCTTATAGAGCCTGAAGCTTCGTCACTGCTCTAGTGGCTTGAATAGTCATTAAAAATAACTCTTTTTACGAGGCCTCAGTGACCTACATAGTATGAGAGAAACTAAAACATTGGAATAGAACAACAGTGTAGGTAGCACTGCAGTAAACGGGACAAAGAAAAAAACATAGGCCACGGAGATTCAGTTTTGCCTTATTTGCCCTTACCTTGCTAATACAGATATTAAAGATACTAAAGACTGAAGAGCAGACAGAAGGACTAATGACCTCATCCGCTCTTTCCAGAGGCTTTGGTTATGTATTGTATTGTCGTAAATGGTCGGCTTTTCTGTGATTCAGTGTTTATTAGGCCATTGCCAAAAGAGATTTGTCTAAGCATCTGTACACCCGTTAAAAAAACTTTACTAATTCTTTCTTCCTGTTCTTGTCCGGATGGAGGGTGTTGCACCAGTCTTGGTGTTCCCCTGTGACCTGCTCATGTGGGTGAAACTGATTTCAAAAGACCTGTAGGTCCTTTGGTTCCTCTAGTGACTACCACACCCTGATCTTACTTCAGATAAATCCAAGACTCTGTGTCCAGGCTCTCTGGAGACAGACTGGTGTGTTTATTTCCTGAGAATCAGGATGAGGTGGAAGACACCACCACATAAGTGCATCTCCCCATACAGCCTCCAAACAAGAGATGGCTTTTGGCTGGTCTGGCTGAAACCTCTGTCAGTCCGCATCTGGGTGGATGTGCCTTTAGAAGCACGTGGGTGAAAAGTTCAAGCTGTGTTTTTGTATATCTGCATCCAATCTTATTGGCTCAATATCGAGAATACTAATTAGTCTGGGAATCCTTCTACAGATACGGGGCCTAGATCCTGCCTTAGCCCACCATCATCTGTTTGCTCGTTGCGTTTGAGATCTCCTGTTTCCTGACAGAAAAGACAGTTTGTTTAATAGAAGCCATTTGTCTAACAACGCCCTTGGTCTAAGGTTGATCTATAGAAGCATGATCCAACAAGAAATAGAAACAATTAACTTCTGAAATAGCACGCAGCTTTGTCATTCTGTACGTGAATTGAAAGTTTCGTAATGCTAGATCATGTTTTAGCATAGCT